AGTTCTCTGATGTTAGATGTGTTTTCATTCTAGAAAGGACTTTTTATTCACATGTTCTGTTATGAACACTGAGCAGAGAAATGGACAGTAAAGCCAAGTGGAAACTCCATTGGCAATGAGGCTACAGCACATGGACAGCATCGGGGCACAGGGAGCAAACAATTCACTGGCTACTGTGATGTAGGATCATTTCTCACATTGTGGATAGTTTGATTAAAATCATTGCATCGCACTCAAAATTTACCTTGTGGAGTATATGCTCATTTCGTCTTCATCATCATCATCAGCATCGGCATCATCATCGTCAACGTAACTTCTCAAAACATAGGACATTTCAGAGTTAAGTTTACTTCATTGAATTGATTCATTGTTGAAGAGACAGAGATCTTGAAAGTGCTTGGTAGTTTGTTTATTGAGAGTTTGGCACATGGATTTATCACAGTGGTGTAAATAAAAGAGGTTCAATGTTAACTTGTTTGTGAGGATATTTCTTGATCAGTACAGGTTCAAAAATTTCTGTTGAACCCCTCAGAGTAACATCGTTAAAAGAAATGAGGTGTTACAACCTAAAGGGGAACTTCAGGGCCCCAATAATCCAAAAAGTACCTTACCTTAGGACATTGACATGACCCCATATCTCTATACAGGGAATGAGGTCTGTAGAGAGATACATTTTAGTGCTAGTTGCACACAAAAATTTACTCTTAAAAAAGACCACTTAAAAAAGACAATCTCACCTGCGGCGTGCGAAGTGAAGACTCACCAGACAGTTCTTTATGAACATGGGGTCTACCACCTTTACATGCCTGAAAGAGGCATTCTCACTAACCAAGCCGAGGCGGGCCATCAGAACATTGTTCTAACCATGAGCCCAGCCTCAGGCCTGATGTAAGAAGCGCCTGGGGAGTCGGGGAAGAGAGACAAGGACAGATTGTGCTCTTGATTGATACCCCGAGACAGATTGTGCTCTTCATAACTAATGATAACTCAGTAACACACACTAGATGCCTTTGTATATGAAGTGACGTGACAACTGTGTATATATCGGTCATTTTCCTTGGTAAGTAAAACATATTTCAGATGTAGTCTTGTTATATATTATATCAAACTCATGTCACATAACTGTAGAGTGATCAACAGGTATTTCTTGAGTTCTGTAAGCGAGTGTCAATGGAAAAAAATGTCAAATTCCCATGGTAAAATTAAGGAGTAACCTTTCTACAGGAATAAATAGATAATAAAGAGTGACATAACTAAGAAAACCCTAGTTAATATCGTTTGACCATCAATATGACCACTCTTTGGTAGCATATAATGATCTACCTGTAGCAATGCTTTGAGATGTTGTTAATAGAAAATATGATTTATTGAAAATATTTGAAAAAATAGAAGTGTTTCAATACTTAAGTCAATACTTTTTAATGGCATGTCAACTTTCAATTCCTCCGCTGCGTGACTCTAGCCAGCGCTGGATTGTTGTCAGCGCGAAACACATGTTTGAGCGCGTGAATGCAGATTCTAGCCAGCGCTGGATTCTAGTCAGAGCGCTGGTCTATAACTGGAAAAATAATATAGTCGTTGCAAAAGTAACGATACATAGCTTAGGCTACATGTACATTAAACTGGAAGAAGAATCACAACAAGCGTGTCGGTGAGAACACTCATTTAAACAGCATTCACACCCGAACTTGACTGCACATTATATTTTTGACATTATTGATACTGCTTACTGCTTTCAATCGTAATGCAATAGAAATGAACACAAAAAACCTGCTAGTATACTGACGGTGGACTTGCGGTCAGGAGTAGGCTAGAACGGCCGCGGACGAATGATTTTCTTTTTTTTATTTGAGCGCTGCTGACATTTTCTTTCACGCGCACCATAGGCGTGCGCGCACACACAATATGACATCACAATCTACGCATATGTTTTACAACATAATTTAACATATATGGTCCTAACACTTTTTTAATAGCCCACTTAAAGTGTTTATTACAAATAAATTACTAAATGCTTAAAATGAATCACAGTAAATGAACACAAATTTCCGTTACTCGTGAACGCCCCCCATTAACACCTGAACGCCCCCCTTTCAAGACTCTTGCGTCTAACGCCCCCCGTTGTTCTCTGAACGCCCCCTGGGATGAGAACCACTAGTCTAGTGTTTAAAACAAAAATAATCGCAATACTTGTAGAATTGCAATTCTTAAATAAAATTACATCGGCACCCAAGAATCGTGATAGGTGTATCGTCCCAGCCCTAATATTTAGGTTTAAAAATAACAAATGTTTCCAATATTTCACAAATTAATTATGACTAACTTAAACTTGAAATTTTGGCTGATACGCAGAGATGGTCTAATATCAAAATGTCACTCCATGGTAGAATTTCAATCATGGTTCATGGTAGGTTGAATTCTCTTTTTTGTATGATTCCTTTCCCTCCACCTGTTATCTGATGCCCATACTTTTTTAGGATAGAGAAATAAAGAAGATGAATTTAATCAGTACAAACAAAATTGAATTCCAGCTCTTTCTGTTCTTGCATCCCTAAACATCTTTACAGCACATTACAGTACAAGCTATCCTGATCAGTCACCAATCACAGCAACAACAACAACAAAAAAGGACACTCTTGGGGAATGACGACAAAACAGTTTTTGTGTGACACATATAAAATGGTCAAGTCAACTCTTTTGAAACACATTAAGGTTTTCCTATTGAATCTAATGATTACCAAGTTAAAGGGAATGCAACAGCAGTGTGCCATTATATATTAAACTGAAGTGACAACTATTTATCTATCAGTCATCTACCTTGGTAAGTTTACATTTGAGTGGGGTAAACAATTCAGGGGTGAATATATTTTTCATTATCAGCAACTATCAAATATTTCATACGTGCTGCTGGGGATAAAAGTTTATAAGAATTACTGGCATGGGCCAGTACTGCCAATATTGTCCTTTTTTTACCACAATGTGAAGATTACAATGTGAAGAAGTGTTCTACTTCTGGTCTTGTTTAGTACTTTGATATTAAATACTGTATGTGCTGCATTGAATCATGTTCTGACTGAATCTGGGCTGTGTTTCACAAAAGCATAATAAATCTAAGTTGATTGTAGAAACCACAATCTACTGTTTCTACGATCTACTTAGGCTTATACAATGCTTTTGGGAAAATGCAGCCCTGTACTATACTGTATGTTTTGTTTAGGTCCAGTGATGGGAATAACGGCGTTATAAATAACGCCGTTACTAACGGCATTACTTTTTCCAGTAACGAGTAATCTAATTGATTACTCTTCTCATCTTAATAACGCCGTTACCGTTACTGCCAAAAAATGCGGCGCGTTACTATAACTGATGAAGCTGTTTTTTTTCATCAGACCAACTAGATCTCCGAGCGAGAGGCAAATACTTTTTTTACTGTTCTTCCTTGGTTAGTGGGCAGAGGGAGCACGAGACAAGCGCATACATGCTGACGATTGGCTGAGGTAGAGTAAAATGTCATTGTAAGCCAATCAGAGGTAGCGTTGGGCGGGTGCAGAGCCATATAGAGTGAGAATCACAGTTCAGCTCTCTACCTCCATCGATTTGAATTGGCGCCGAAGCACTTCCTGGAACTATCTGAGGTCTACGCGAATCACGTGACAACCAAGCATTTAGAACTTCCGTTGTCGCAACTCTCTCTCTATATGGCTCTGGGCGGGTGTTCTAAAGCACGCATAGTAGTGATGGGCATTCGGCTCTTTTGACTCAGCTCACTGAAAAGAGCCGGCTCTTTTGGCTCACAAACGGCTCTTTAAATTACTTTGACTATAATATTTCAATTTTTATTACATAATTATTTAATTTCTATAGGCTAAATTTGTAAGAGTCGGCTCTTCAGATATGCGAGCCAGCTACCGACGTTCACCTAAAAGAGTCGGCTCATTCGCGAATCGCGAACGAGTCGATCCATCATCACTAACGCTCATTCGCGAACGACCCATCATCACTAACAACGACGCTCATGAATTGCGAACGACCCATCATAACGCATAGTCGGACAGGACAGGACACACAACGAACAACACAAGCCAGTCAGTCAACGAGAGACAGGTATGCCGACGAGCCCAAATAATCCAAAAGTAGCCTTCTCTAAATGGTATATTGCTTATGTTAAGTTTTCATTTCCGTCCGTCATGTCCATGCACAATATGTTGCGATCATCCATCCACTAAAGAACAATCCAGATACAATTTCTCAGTGTTATTTATTTGTTAGTTTTCATCTCAATGCGCTGGCATAACATCAGTGCACGAGGGAGCAGCAGCACGACATTCATCTCAAGAAAGGAACACAAGCTGAGTCAAAATAAAAGTCCCCATTTGTTCACACATGCGCACAATGAACTCTTGCACATTTTTAGTATACAACCGTCAATAGCATAAAGTAAAAACAAAATAACAGTAAGAAACATAAAATAATATAGTTAATGAGAATATATAACTCCACAGCTTAACAAGCTTAATTTAATTTTGCCCAGTTGTGGCCTGTTGAGGGGCAATAAATATCAAAAGTTCCAAAACATCTATTGTGTTATTTGCATTGATCCACTATATAAACATAATATCTACATACATGGCATTTGATTGGAGGCTAGTCTCACTTTGTCCACCGGCAACATTTTTTTTTAGATGTGTGTACAATGTTTCATGTTTCTGTTAATAATGTATTGTATTAAGTGTCCATTTCATTATAAAATTCAGATTTATCATAAATAATTGAACATGCACATGTGTTAAAATCCGTTAAATAGGGGTAGAGGTGGGGTCACATTTGAGCATTTAAAATTTAATTTTACTTGAAAGTAACGCAATAGTTACTTTCTTAAGTAACTAGTTACTTTTAAAATTTGTAACTGAGTTACTAATTTAGTTACTTTTTGGAAGAAGTAACTAGTAACTGTAACTAATTACTTTTTAAAAGTAACTTGCCCAACACTGTTTAGGTCACAGATGGACAACCTGACATTCAGATACAGCATACTCTTAATGGAGGGACTACAAGTTACACATCTGTCCAATCATTTTGTTTTCATCCTTTTTTTGCTTGCTTACATATTTATTATAGTATCTAACATTGGGATTTTGATTCAGATCTCATTGGAAAAAAGGTTACATCAGCCTATGCACATACTTTTCTGCAACTTGCAACTGAATGATGTATTAGGGACAATTGCTCTTTTACCACGCCTGATGAGTCATATCTTAACAGACCCCTCTGAGCGCTACATCACATATGTGGAGTGTGCTATGCAAGCTTTTTTTGGACATGTATATGGAACCGCATCCCACACAATTCTAATGATCATGGCCTTTGACAGATATGTGGCCATATGCAATCCATTGCGATACTCAACAATAATGAGCAATAACATGGTGGTTAAACTTTCTGCAGGAGCCTGGGGTGCTGCAGTAGTGCTGGTGGGAATTCTGATCAGCCTCAGTGTGCGTCTGTCTCACTGCAGATCTGTGATTCAAAATCTGTTTTGTGACAACGCTTCACTATTTAAACTGTCCTGTGAAAATATAGTTATTAATAATGTATATGGATTAACTTTTACTGTGGTTTTACTAACGTCCTCATTGGGGAGTGTGGTATTTACATATCTCAGAATAGTGATGGTATGCTTCAAAAGCAAAAACAAAGCAACCAACAGCAAAGCAATAAAAACCTGCAGTGCTCACCTGGCTGTTTATATAATCATGATGGTTTCTGGATTCACCACCATTTTTCTTCATCGTTTCCCTGCATTATCTGAAAGTAGAAATTTATCTAGTGTTATGTTCCATGTTATTCCACCAAGCTTGAATCCCATAATATATGGGTTGCAAGCAAAGGAAATAAGACAAAGACTGTTTAAACTAATTTATAAATATAAAGTTAACTCAATGTGATTTTTTATATATGTATATTACAATAGTCTTTGAGTGCTAATGATAAAGTGTGAATGGTAAAATACATTGGTCTACATTTCTGTTTCATTCCAAAACTTTACTTGTGTGAATAGTCTATAACATCCTTGTGATAAATGTGGACAGTGGAACTATAAAATATGTACTGATAATTACAGGCTTTTTATGTCCCAGGTAAACATGAAAATCACTGTAAAACTTACAGCATTTAAAACACCTACTGACAACAACTTCTGACCTTTTAAAATTTAAAATAAGCAGCAGTATAATAAAGCAGTGCTTTGCTCCATAAGATCATATCTCTACATCAGAATGATAAAGGTTATCCTAACAGCAAGTAAATGATATTATATAGAAACGTAAATATATATGACTATAATATACAGTTTTGGTCAGAATTATTGGCACCCCTGTTAAATATGATCAAAGATGGCTGTAAAAAATAAATCTGCATTGTTTATCCTTTTGATCTTTCATTAAAAAAATTTGCAAAAATTAAACATTTCATTGAAGTAAAATAATTGAAAGTGGGGGGTAAATCACATTATGAAATAAATGCTTTTCTCCAAAACACGTTGGCCATAATTGTTTGCACCCAAAACTTTTTGCACTCTTCTTTAGCCAAGATAACAGCTCTGAGTTTTCTCCTAATGCCTGATGAGTTTGGAGAACACCTGACAAGAGATCAGATACTATTCCTCCATACAGAATTTCTCCAGATCCTTCAGATTCCCAGATCCATGTTGCTGCTTCTCTTCAGTTCACCCCACTCATTTTCTATAAGGTTCAGGTCAGGGAACTGGGATGGTCATGGAAGAAGCTTCATTTTATGCTCAGTGACACATTTTTGTGTTGATTTTGATGTGTATTATGGATCTTTGTCCTGATGGAAGATCCAACCATGGCCCATTATAAGATTTCTAGCAGAGGCCAGAAGGTTTGGATTTTTATCTATTGGTATTTGCTAGAATCCATGATACCATGTATCTGAACAAGATGTCCAGGACCTCCAGCAAAAAATAAGCCCACAACATTAAAGATCCAGCAGTATATTGTGGGCATGGGGTACTTTGTTTTCCCTGTTTACACCAAACTCATCTGGTGGGTTTGCTGCCAAAAAAGCTCTCTTTTTTTTGTTTCATATGACCATAGAAACCGGTCCCTTTTTATGTTCCAGTCGTGTCTGACAACTGAAAATGCTAGAGTTTGTTTTTTCGATGAGTGAGGATGATTTTCCTAATATATTTCAGAGATATTTTACTCATAAAAAAATTCTAGGGGTGCCAATAATTGTGACCAATGTGTTTTGGAGAAAAAACATTTATTTCATGTGATTCCCCCAACTATCTGTGATTTTTCCAACTATCGTAAGTGAAAATATCATGCCCTTCTTCAGGTCAGAGGTGAAGAAAGCATGAATAAAATATGAAGCATAAAGGGACATATAAATATTGTGCAAAAATGTAGTCTTGTCTCGTTCTCGTGAACCCAATCTCGTGTCTCATCTCGTCTCGTCTCGTGAGATGTGTCTCGTCACACCCCTATTCAATAGCATTACCATTGTTCCCTTTCAAGGGAACTTCGAGCTGCGTCAAACGCTGTGGGAACGCCCCTGCGTTGTGCGTCATGAAGCACGTATGGAATCAGCCCAATGGAGAGACGGAACGTCATAGGCGGGTGACGTCATCGACCAGGAAACTATAAAGCACCCCAAAAACACAAGCACATCAGCTTCTGTGCCTTCAGTCGCGTTATATGTGAATCTGTCTGAGTGTAAACACTGTGTCTGTCTTTAGTATTTGCTAGGCAGGAGTTATCACATTTACACCACACAAACAATTTTGTATGAGAGACTATGGCGAGCGAACGGCATTTAAGAAGTGTGTTCCTCCCTGCTCGCGCTATCTAACGGACGGGGATACACACGTTCTTTGTGTTGTTTGTTTGGGAGTGCAGCATGCCCAGTCAGCTCTCGAGGGGGCTGGCTGCGAGCATTGCGAGCGTCTGCCTTTATGGACGCTCCGCTCCCGCCGAGCGCTCTTTGAGGAGAGTGTTCGGTGCGCGCTCCCCGCGGTTCGAGTCCCGCTTCTGCCGAGGCTGAGCGGCGACGCTTATCGTGGGGATCGCAAATGGATCTTTCAGTGGGGTTGGAGATGGGCTCTGCCTTATCTCTGCCTTTACCTGTTAGATCCAGTGTCTCAGCCCGGTTTGGAAGCACGCTCTGCGGTTTCTTCCGCCCGGGCTGAGGCACCAGTACTGCAACTATCTAACGTTAGTTATAAAAACTGAGGAGATAAAAATAGCAGTATTGATGAGGGAGATCTGGAGGACTCGCCACCTCACACTCCCGAAAGCGAAGAGCTCATGGAGGTTCTCACTCGAGCTGTATCAAAACTAAGCATTGAGTGGCCAGTGGCTAGGCAGGAGTCTGTTATTAAATCTAAGTTAGATGAAAGATTTCTCCCTTCCCATCTGCAACCTCCATGCCGCTTGCCGTTTTTTTTCATGATCTCCATACTGAGGTGTCGAGATTATGGAAGAAGCCGGCTTCTGATATAATTTTAGCCTCCTATCATTCACATATTCAGATTTAGCGGGGGCTAGGTTTTTTTTTTAAAGAAAAGACGGCGCTTTGTCGCGGGTAGAAGAGACGCTTGCGAGCTATCTCTCTTCCGAGGCTGCATTGTCATTTAAAGCACCGGCATTACCTTCCAAGCCATTATGAAATATTTCGGCTTTGTAATGTGTATTCGGCGGCAGGTCAGGCTGCGTCGTGTCTGCAATGTCTATATTGCAGGCATACCATGTTGATTTGCTAAAGGACGTGAGCGTGAGTGAGGAGGCAGTACTGACGTGGTTCGAGAACTGCGTCAGGCTGCCGATTTATGGTACAATGATTTTTTACAACATGAAACAGAAAGAGAAAGCTTTCTTTTAGATGATCCTCTCTCCCCTGCGGGGTTATTCAGTGACTTTGTTAATACTGTCATTGATAATTTCAGGAAGAAAAGAAGCAGGCAGCAGCTTTTAAAAGGTTTCTTCCATTAAAAGTTCACGTCCACGGGGCTGCTGGGCGGGAGCAGCCCCGGCCATCCACGAGCTCATCGCATAGGCGCAGCAAAGCAGAGTATCGCGTCTCGCGCTCCCCCTGCTGGACAGTGGGACCAGACGTGGCACTCTCAGCCAAAGCTTTTTGAAAAAAAAATATTATATATATATATATATATAAAAAAAGCAATAGAACTGATTTGAGGACAGTTATATTGGCTATGCTGAGGGCGGTCCCCACCGAGGGAGAAAGGTGTTCACCTCTTTTTACGGTGCCCATTCTTCCTCGGTGCCCTCAGGGGCCCGTTCTGCCAACCCCGCCTTCATGCCGGGGTGCAGACGGTCCCGGCGAGCGCTTTCCCGAGGGACGCTCGCCTCCTCTGACACTGAGGGTGGTCCCCATTGAGGGAGAAAGGTGTTCACCTCTTTTTACGGTGCCCATTCTTCCTCGGTGCCCTCAGGGGCCCGTTCTGCCAACCCCGCCTTCATGCCGGGGCGTAGACGGTCCCAGCGAGTGCTTTCCTGAGGGACGCTCGCTCCCTCTGAGGAGGGTTTCAGAGCGGTCAAACCAGTTGTTCCCTGCCGGTGTGCCGTTACAGGGCGCTGTGTTTGCTGCTCAAATTACACCAGAGACCAGTCTAGAGAGACTGGTACCCTTAGTAGAATTTGTTTGGCAGAGTGGAAAAGCCTTCCAAGAATATCTCAGTGGGTCCTGCAGACAGTAGTTAAGAGGATATGCGATCCAATTTAGGTGTCGTCCACCGAAACTCAGAGGGGTTCTGCCCATAGTGTGGGCCCCGAGCAGGCTCTGGTAATGGAACAAGAGATGAAAACGCTCCTTCAAAAGGGGGCTATAGAACGGGTTCCTCCTCCCAGTTTGGAGCTAGGTTATTACAGCCGATATTTCATCGTTCCAAAGTAGGATGGGGGGTTGCGTCCAATTTTAGATTTGCGCCTATAAAATCGCTCGGTAGGGAAGCTCAATTCAAGATGCTCACTATCAAGCTGGTCGTGTCACAAATCAGGTCCTAGGGCTGGTTTGTCACGATAGTTTCTAAAGGACGCTTACTTCCACATTTCCATACTTCCACAACACAGGAAGTTCCTGAGGTTTGCCTTCGGGGGCGAGGCATTCCAATATAGGGTTCTTCCATTCGGTCTAGCTATCTCCCCGTACTTTACGGAGCAGATGGCGGTTCGACATCGAGATGTCGTCCTCGCGCATATCAGGAAGTTGGGGTTGAGGCTGAACGCTTGGCCTCTGAGGGGGCCCAGATCTGAACGCGAAGAAAAGTGTTTATCTCCTTCCCCGGAGACCACTTTTCTGGGCGTTGTTTGGGATTAGGTCACCCGCATCGCTTCGATTCTTCAGCCTTGAAACAGTAAAGCTAGGCCAGCTACTCACTGTAAAGCAGTTTCAGAAACTGTTGGGTTTGATGGCAGCAGTGTCCAACGTTATACCTTGGCCTGTTGTACATGAGACCGCTGCGGTGGTGGCTCAGGACCAAGGGATTCTCCCCGAGGGGAAATCCACTCCGCACGATTAAAGTCACGCGGCGCTGCCTTCGTGCTCTGGTCTTGTGGAAAGAAACTTGGTTCCTATCCAAAGATCCTGTGCTGGGGGCTCTTTGTCGTTGCGTAAAGCTAACGACGGATGCTTCCCTCACAGGGTCGGGGGCGGTCATTAGTGGTCGTCCAGCCCAAGGTCTGTGGCAGGACCATCTATCATGGCATAGAAATTGTCTAGAGATGTTGGCAGTGTTTCAGGCTCTGAAACACTTCCTAGCAGACCTGAGAGGTCATCATGTGCTAGTTCAGTCAGACAACACGTCGGTGGTCTCTTATATAAATCGTCAGGGGGGCCTGCGGTCTCGCCGGCTTTACAAGTTGGCCCGTCAGGTCCTCCTGTGGTCCCTAGGGAAGTTACTATCACT